CTTACAGAAGCGACTTACATGATTGAAGGATGGAAGACCGGAATGTCCCGTACAGAGTTACTCGCCCTCAGAATTCGACAACTCGAAAAGCGACCAGAAGACCTCCAGAGAGCTGCTACCCGGGTCAAGAACACACGCCTTAGGTCTAAGCAACGATGGGAAGAACTGTACGAGCACCGATTTCTCAAAGATCCCCTGAAGGACGGCGACCTTGTCCTATTACGAAACACGGCCATTGAGAAATCACACAATCGGAAAGCAAAACCCAGGTATCTAGGCCCTTTCCAAGTCATTGGAAAATCAAAGGGCGGATCGTATGTGATTCGAGAACTTGATGGAACGTTTATCAGGCGTGGCGTAGCGCCATTCCGGATCCTACCCTATCGGGCTAGAATGCAGGAATATGTCCCGGCAGCCGAACTGCGGGAGGATCCGTTCGAGCGAGATGACGTTATGGGTACCGGATCCGATGAGTTCGAAGCAGAACAATTCCACGAAGAAGGCGAGAGTGACGGAGAAGGATAAGAAGGCAGAAGAAGAAGTCTGAATATTCCACTCCGCCCATGAGAAATGCCAAGGGCATCCCTCATGTGAATCCTAGAAGGCTGAATTCGGGAAGCTCGACAGCGGCCCCTGAAAGAAGCCACGACAGCCAGACAAACGGCGACCGGGCGCAGTACTCTAGACCACCGAAGAACGGTCGGTCCTACGAAAGGAAACGAAGCGCCGCAAAGCGGAAATGCTTGTGGGAAAAGTAAGGAAGCCTGCACACGCAAAGTACCCGCCCGCAATAGTCTGACTGCTCCCCCCATACCGCGCACGCACGAATGGGACAGTCTCCCTCTCACCTCTACGTTCGCCAACGTCCTACTATGCCATACGATGAACTGTCGTCTGGACCTAATCCGTTCCCCAGCCAGGTAGACAACGCTCTACCTTCTCGACACGAGAAAGACGACCAACAATCCATCCATAGCCGCGACCGGCTAGAGCTTCCCAGTGATGCTCAGGATTTCGATACGACCGACAGCGACACCGACTCCAGCTCCGTGACCTTTGCCGCCAACCCAGAATACTATAATCACTTAATGACCAACATCGCTCTCTGGCAACGTCGCTCTACTACAACCCCGCAGCCGGGGGACTTGTGGAGCATCCTCGACCCCGACGACCTCGCGACCATGTCATGGGACGAGTGGATCCCCCTCGTATTCGACTCCCCCTCTGACCGCAGCATGGCCGGATATGCGGGACGTGATGGCTATAGCTGGTCCAACGGCCCACCCCTCCAAACCCTCCGACCCGCTCACCTGCTTCGACGAGAGGCCCTGGATGCTGAGCCTGGTCCGGCACTCCCGGCTCCTCCATTCCCCAACCCACTTATCCCGCGCATTGGCTGCCTGGACAACGGCAGTTTCTCGATCCTCGCCGTTCCAGTCGACGTGGAGAACCCTCTCATATGGACGCTCACGGCACCCATCCTCGGGGACGTACACATAGGCATACACATTCGTATGGAGTACGCCAGCACCTGGGTGTGCGGCACCGTTCGGTCCATATTCCGACTGCACGACGACTGTGTCACCTTCTTCGTGCATGGGATTGTCGTGTTTTCCGGACAGGTCGTCAACTCGGAGCGCGTCATGTTGCGCGTCACGCCGGAGCTCGCCCGCCTTTCGATGCGAGATTGGACAAAGCACAACGTTACCAAAACCACCGACGTGACCATGCAAGCCGGTACGTACGTCCACTGCATGCTTAAATTGACTATTGTTCTAAATTAAGATTAAAACAGACGCGTTTAGTAGCTGGGAAGGACCACGGGTGGCGATGGCAAGGGAAGAGGACGCGTAAACTCGTTATCGATTTTTTTTGTATTAGAATATACGAACGCAGTGACAGGATATGCGACGGACATCGAAAGAAAAAGGGGTATACCGCAAGTAATCTGACAAGGAGCGTCCGACACGACAATGAAACGGTAACCAAGGAAAAACCGCTGAATGAAATCTATTGCTAGCATACTCCAGGCCTCGACGGCCCCACGCAGAAGGATTTAAGTTTAGCAAAGATCGTCACAGAAGGTCGAATCAATGCAACGTACCATTCCTCTCGGGTCACCAAACTGAATTATCGAAGCGTCAGATGAGCCTGAGAGAACATCCAATCACACGTGTGATGGAACCGCACCGGAAAAGCATGCCAACTATCCTACGCTGCACGAAGCCTCGCGCAGAGCGACACTTAAGTCATGGCTCGCTCCCTTCCTCTCTACCAGGAAACCACCCGTTCTATCGTAAAGACACCATGCAGCCGCTTACTGAGATCTCCCTTTCTGACCGCGACGACCGTCCTCTCACTCGACATGGGCCTCCCGCCGGCAACCCGAGCCAAGTCGTAAACGCACTCTACACGTCTGGCAGTGAAAGCGCGCCTGTGTCATCGGCAGTAATCACACCACCCCGACTTCGCCGATACCTTTCTATCCCATCATCCCCACCAGCTACAACAGCTACCAACATCGCTCTTACGTGCCAGAGCGAGTCCGACACCCCCGCTAGCTCGACAACGGTCACGTCGTCCGCTACTACCGATACCTCCACAGGATCTACCAGTGCAGTATCTCGCACTGAGGAAGATTCAGTCGCCCTCCACTTCCCCCCGCCAGGGCTCACTAGGGCATACCCTCCTCAAGGCTGTTACGTAGTTGCGCCTATTAGCACGCGACTCCATCCCTACGTCTTGCCTCCCCGTCCTGGGAACTTGTGGCGCACTATCTTGGAGGGAGCCCTTGGTAGTCCTCGCACCTTCAAGCGAGTCGACTTGGTCTTTCGGGACGTCGCAGAGACCAGACCCGAGCGCAGCAGTGGCGCAGGCAGTTCACTCCTTGGCCAAGACGACTCAGGACTCGACGTCCATTACCCTGCATCCCTCATCCGCGTCGACGCCTTAGATGAAGAACCAGGCCTGTCTCCTACACTAGGC